CCTAAGTAGCTGGGGTTACAGGCACGCACCACCGTGCCCAGCTAATTTTTTGCATTTTTTTTAGTAGAGATGGGGTTTCACTATGTTGACCAGGATGGTCTCGATCTGTTGACCTCGTGATCCACCCGCCTCGGCCTCCCAAAGTGCTGGGATTACAGGCATGAGCCACCGCGCCCGGCCTGGATAGGTAGTCTTAAAAATTGATTGGCTTTGTTTATCTTCTTGACTTCTGCTCTTTACATTTGAAGGAAAGTAGCTTATGGTCATTTATCAAACACAGACTCTAAGAAATAAAATCAAGACAGACAACCCTCAAGGGAAAAATACTACTAAAACGTACATTTGAGAAGTGACAGAAAATTAGTCAATTATGTGCAAGAAATAAGCAAGCCATATGTAAGTACAACTCTTCACAAAAGCATCTTCTTAAAAACAGATTTTGCAAGGTGAGAGGACTGGCTACAGGGATTTACAATTCCAGCTACCACTCTGAGAGTTGTATACCAAAGAAACCCAATATGAATTCCTGACAGTCTTAGAGGCAGGCCGAGGGTCTGACATGACAAAGTCAGGTTTTCCTCTTCCTTGTGTGACGAGCTCCTATCTTTCAGGTTTGGGGAAGATGCCAGAGCGGATCGGAATTTATTTAGAATGAATCTTCTTAATGAGCTGTCAAGTTCAGTGGAATGCCAGACCTGGGCTTTAATAATTTCCTGGTTTTTAGTACCTGAGCCTATAAAGATGATATACAGGCCACAGAGGATAGAGAGTGGTCTGGGTGGGGTGAAAAGATGGGGGGAGGAGAGTTGGTACTGCCGTCCTAATAGGTGGCATGTGAAACTCATTCTTCTGGGTCCCTAGGCTGCACACGGGTCTTTGCAGCTGGAGACAAGGGGATGGAGTGGGGAGAGGTGAAGCAGCTGGGGATAAAATAAAAAAATAGGCAAAGTTTGAATGTGGAGGCCTTCTAGCCTCCCCTTTAACCAAACCCTTCTTGAATCCTGTCTTCTCTTGCCCCCACACTGACTCCATCCCCATCCTCTTTTCAATCTATCTTATTTTCATTTCTCTAGAACCATCGATTCTCTCAGTTGTATTATAGGGCACAGGGTTTTAGGACTCTGGGGTTTGAGGGTCATAAAGAGCAGCAGTCCAGACCTTTAATTTTATAGGTAGGGAGTCTGCCACCTAAAGATGCACTGACTTTAACATATTGACCAGCTGGCCAGTGGCAGACCGAAGACAGAGTCTTTTGATCTCAGATGATGCTGTTTGTATTACTCAAGAGGGAATTATTCCCTGATAAAAACCTGGGATATTGGGCCGGGCGTGGTGGCTCACACCTGTAATCCCAGCTCTTTGGGAGACCGAGGCGGGCAGATCACGAAGTCAAGAGATCGAGACCATCCTGGCCAACACAGTGAAATCCTGTCTCTGCTAAAAGTACAAAAAAGTTAGCCGGGCATGGTGGCATGCACCTGTGGTCCCAGCTACTTGGGAGGCTAAGGCGGAAGAATTGCTTGAACTCAGGAGGCAGAATTGCTTGAACTCAGGAGGCAGAGGTTGCAGTGAGCCGCGATTGCGCCACTGCACTCCAGCCTGGAGACAGAGCAAGACCCCGTCTCAAAAACAAAACAAAACAAAACAACAACAACAAAAAACTTGGGATATTATCATCATCTGGGAATCCTGAAGAACAAAATAGATACACAAAAGGACAAAAGTCGACATGAGGACTTTTGGATTTCAAGTACAGGCAAGCAGGGAAGACACTTCTGGACTGAGGATCCCTCTAGTACCCCTGAGATAAATCTCCGTTTGCTATTTTCTACTCTGCCTCGAGGTGGAGCCAGGGGAGAGTCATTTTAATGACAAACCCTCCAAATGTGCCTGGTGTGAAAGAGGGACCATCCTGTCAGAAGTCCAATATGCACTGGCATTTTGAAGGTTCTAAGCCACTATAAAACTCCCATATTGGCAAATTCTACCATAGCAAATATGATTGAATACTATTAGGTAATATTAAGGGACATTTCCCCCTTCACCTCCCATTCCTTATACTTTTAGCCTCCATTTATTCAGATAAGGAATTTCATGCTTACTGTCTTAGAGAAGGGCTGACACAATATAATTCCATTAAAACAAATCATCTGTGTCTCAAAGAGACTAAATAATGAGTGAGGGCAAAGCTTCTGGCTACAACCTGGACAAGACCTCTGGAACTGGAGAGAGGCGGAGAATTGAAGAGGAAACAGGAAAATGTAGAAAATGACCTTTCTTTGGGCTCTGCATCTCGTCTACCATTTGCTTATCTCTGGGGCAAAAAAAAAAAGTCCAGTATATAAGTACATAAATCAGGTTTTGTCAGGAGGTAGGAACTCTGGTGTTTTACTGGTTAATTCCTGTTACCGAGGAGGCTGAGGCAGGAGGATTGCTTGAGCTTAGGATTAGTGAGCTGTGATCAGACTACTGCCCTGCAGCCTGGGTGACTGAGCAAGACCCTGTCTCAAAAAAAAAAAAAATTGACATTATCTAAAACATCTTACAGCTCACCAATTTTTAAAGTCCACTGAATAATTCTTTTGAGTACTCCAGCAATAAAGTACTCTAAATAACATAGACCAGAACTCTCCAATAGAGATATAATATAAACCACATATGTAATGGCCAAGCATGGCCAAGCAATGAGCTTTTGCTTAACTTCTGCAGCTGTGGATTGGATGGGGGCTGGGTGAAACGGATTGATTTGAGCTTGGTTTGAACTCTGCTTAGTTCAGCTGGGCTTGTTCACATATCTCTGTGTTGGCTGGCGATAAGATGATTTAGCTTGGACTCACTAGAGAAGCTTGGCTCTGCTCCACATGTTTCTGATCCTTCTAAGACCAGTGATATAGCATGGGCATATGCTTCTCTTATCTATAGCAGAGGTGCAAGAGACTGAATGGAAACATGCAAAGCCTCTCAAGGCCTATGCATGGAGCTGGCACACTGTTTCTTTAACTTCATTTGATTAGCGAAGGCAAGTCAGGTGGCAAAATTCAAAGTCCAGAGACAGAGAAATAGAATCTATCCCAAAATCGTATGGCAAAAGTGTGTGTAGAGGAAGATACAAAGAATTGGAACAATCATGCAACTTACTGTAATCCACTTTTCTGGGTAGAACTATAAAAGATGGCAAGACTTCAGCATGTCATGGGAACAAATATTTGTATAATTGTCTAGAAGGTATCTGGGCTTTAGCTAGTATTACAACATACTCATATTCCGTGGGAATGTTTCCTATGGCATTGGCCATGGCATAGATGTAACATAAAGAGACATACCTGAAGAAGCCATCAAATGGTTATAACCTAGCAAGGACCCACTGGATTAGGGGCTGAAGATCACCTGGAATGATGGATGGTCACCGTGCACACTTGCATGCAAAGTATGACAAGCAAAGACTAGTTGCCCAAAGCTTTGGTGCCATGAAAATCTTCTGGAATTTACACATAATCTCTAGAAAAGAGGACGTGTGTATCATAGGTGGATAGGTATTGGCACACAGTCAAACTAGTTGAAATTAAGTTTTTAAATGTATTTTTATTTTTGAGACAGAATCTTGCTCTGTATCCCAGGCTGGAGTGCACCAGTTTCAACTCACTGCAACCTCCGCCTCTCAGGTTCAAATGTTTCTCATGTCTCAGCCTCCTGAGTAGCTGGGATTACAGGTGTGTGCCACCATGCTTGGTTAATTGTTTTGTATTATTAGTAGAGACAGGGTTTCGCCATGTTGACCAGGCTGTTCTCAAACTCCTGGCCTCAAGTGATCTACCCGCCTTGGCCTTCCAAAGTGCTGGGATTACAGGTGTGAGCCACTGCACCTAGCCTGTTTTTGTTTTTTAATATCTGACATATGCCAGAGTGTGGCTCACTTTGTAATCTCAGCACTTTGGAAGGCTCAGGCAGGAGGATTACTTGAGTCCAGAAGTTCCAGACCAACCTGGGCAACATAGTAAGACGTCATCTATACAAAAAATTAAAACAATAGCTGACTGTAGTGGTACATGCTTGTGATCCCAGTTACTGCAGAGGCTGAGGCAGGAGGATTGCTTGAGCTTAGGATTAGTGAGTTATGATCAAACTACTGCACTACAGCCTGGGTGACTGAGCAAGACCCTGTCTAAAAAAATGACATTACCTAAAACATCTTACAGCTCACCAATTTTTAAAGTCCACCGAATAATTCATTTGAGTACTCCAGCAATAAAGTACTCTAAATAACATAGACCAGAACTCTCCAATAGAGATATAATATGAACCACATATGTAATTTAAAATTTTCTAGCACATTAAAAATATAAAAAGAGATGGGTGAAATTAATTTTATAATATATTTTTACTTAACCCAATATACTGAAAATATTATGAAATTAAGTATTTATCACTAGTTGGAATGGAGGATTGAAACAGAACTTACGTTTACAATCATATTTCTAGCATACCTGAGGTTCCGGTTTGCAATTGATACCAGCTATCCCTGTGCATTCCCTATTCCTTAATGTATCCACAAGTTACATTTTCTGAATAAGTCATGGCTTTCTTATTCCAGTATCAGAACTGGAAATCAACTTTCTTGTCACCAAGCAAAAATTTTCTTTTATAACTCCATGAAGGTCACTGAATACAGAATAGCAATTATATCCTGGAGAGGCTAGATGACCAATGAAACTCATCCACTAAATGACTTGCTCCAGGACACTAGCTTTGTGACCCATGATTCAGATTCTTGCTGAGTTGCTTTAAGAGTTACTTCATATTCTGGACCTTCTGTATTGCCCTCAAATATTAAATTCAGAAATTTCCAGAGTCTGTGGTGCAGCTTTTCTCGTTTGAGCCATCCCTGAAACTCCAATATTTCCCTCAACCTCATGAAAGTGAAGAAAGCCAAGGGTAGGTTGGGAAGATTTCAATGAATATTTAAACATAGTTCCTTTTTCCTTCTTAAATATGCTCTCAGTGCTAACGTCAACACAGTTTCAAGTGTTGCTAATATATCCTAATAAAAGGATGGAAGATGAAAAAAAGGTGCTTTGGGCATATTTTGCTTTCAACTTTGTAAACAAACCACACTGAAGTTTCACTCCTGGGATAACTACGGTTGGCTTTTCTGCAATTAAAAGAGAAACATGTATTGATTTACTTATAGATGGAATCACTTAATATTGGGGTGTAGGTCTGTTGAATTAAATAGTTTCCTTGGCCACGGCAAAACTCAGGGTAGGATCAATGTGCAAGTAAAAGGAAGAAGATGAACGAGCAGACAGATGCAGTGCTCTTTATTCATTAGCTTATTTAAATCTTCAAAGACCCTGTGAGACACTTGACATTAACCTCATGTAGCATAATGTTTACCAACCATTCCCATAACTCAGGCAAGTTTTCCTTTTAGAATAGTCGGCTGTACGGTGATATCTCAGAGATATTGTGGATTCAGTCCCAGACCACGATAATAAAGTGAATATTGCAGCGAAACAAGTCACACAATCTTTTTTGTTTTCCCAGTGAAATAAAAGTTATGTTTACACTATACTGTAGTCTATCAAGTTTTTAATAGCATTCTGTCTAAAAAGCCCAATGCATACACCTTAATTAGGAAATGATTTGCTTTTATTAAAAAGTGGGCAAAGGATCTGAATAGACAGTTCTCAAAATAAGACATACAAATGGCCAACAGGTATATAAAAAAACACTCAACGTACTAATCATCAGGGGAATGAAAATCAAAGCCACAATGAGAACAAAAAGACAAAAATAACAAATACTGATGAGGATGTGGAGAAATAGGAACTCATATACACTGTTAGTGGAGATGCAAATTAGTAGAACTATTATGCAAAAAGTTATGCAGATCTCTCAAAATCTAAAAAAGAAAAAAAAGAGAGATCTACCATGGCATCTGGCAATTCTATTACAGAATATTTATGCAAAGGAAAATAAATCAATCTTTCAAAGAGATGCCCTCCACCCCCATGTAGTCTATACTACATAGAAGTATATCGACAATATACTTGGAAATAATATTTATATTTGGAGATAACAATATACTTGGTTGGAGAAAAACCAACCATAGTTATTGCAGGAGTGAATATTCTGGAACTGTATCCACAGCATCTTTGAGGTATTACTTTACAGCCAACTATTCTAGAAGTAAAACTTGCCTGAATTATGGAAATGGTTAGTAAACATTATGCTACATGAGGTTAATGCCACGTTATTGCAGCACTATTCATAATGGCCGAGATATGGAATCAATCTAAGTGTCCATCAAAGGATAAATGGATAAAGAAAATGAGGTGTATATACACACAATGAGATACTAGTCAGCCATAAAACAAATGAGATCCTATCATTTGCGGCAACGTGGATGAAACTGGAAGTCATTATGTTAAATGGAATAGGCCAGACAGAGAAAGACAAATATTGCATGTTCCTATTCATTTGTGGAAGCTTAAAATGGTGATCTCATGAAAGCAGAGAGTAGAACAATATTACCAGAGGCTAGGAAGGGGATGGAGAATGAAGAAAGGTTGGTAAATGGACACAAACATACGGTTAGATAGATGTAATATGTTCTGGTGCAGTAGGGCGACTGTGATTAGCAATAATTTATTACATATTTCCAAACAGCTATACGAGAAGATCTGAAATGTTCCCAACACAAAACAAGTTAAATATTTGAGATGATGAGTATCCTAAATACCCTGATTTGATCATTACACAATTGTATGCATATATCAAAATATTACATGTGCCTGATAAATATGCACAACTATTATGTGCCAATAAAAGGTTAAAAAATGCTTTGTTGCTAAAAAATGCTAATGATCATCTAAGTCTTCAGCAAGTCCAAATCTTTTTGCTGGTGGAGGATTTTGCTGTGATGTTGATGGCTGCTGACTGATCAGGGTGGTTGTTGCTGAAGTTTGGGGTGGCTGTGACAATTTCTTAAAATAAGACAACACTGAATTTTGCTCTGTCAACTGATGCTTTCTTTCACAATGAACTTCTCTGCGGCATGCAATGCTGTTTGATAGCATTTTCCCCAAGGTAGAACTTCTTTCAAAATTGGGGTCAATCCTCTCAAACCCTGCTGATACTTTATTGACTAAGTTTACATAATATTCTAAATCCTTTGTTGTCCTTTCAAAAATCTTCACAGCGTCTTCACCAGGAGTAGTTTCCATCTCGAGAAACCACTTTCTTTGCTCTCCCACAAGAAGCAACTCCTCATCCATTAAAGTTGGATTCTGAGATTGCAGCAACTCAGTCATATCTTCAGGCTCCAATTCTAATTTTAGTTCTCTGGATATTTCCCCTATGTCTGTAATTACTTCCTCCACTGAAATCTTGAACCTCTCAGAGTCATCTATGAAGGCTGAAATTAACTTTTCCCAAACTCTTGTTAATGTTGGTATTTTGACCTCCCACCATAAGTTGTGAATGTTTTTAAGGCATCTAGAATGGTGAACTCTTTCCAGAAGATTTTCAATTACTTTGCCAAGATCTATCAGAGGACTCACTGTCTACAGTAGATGTAGCCTTATGTAATGTATTTCTTAAATAATAAGACTTGAAAGTCCAAATGACTCCTTTATCCATGCAGAATGCATGTTGTGTTAGCAGGCATGAAAGCAACATTAATCTTCTTGTACATCTTCATCAGATCTCTTGGGTGACTAGGTGTATTGTCAACTAGCAGCAATATTTTGAATGAAATCTTTTTTTTTTTCTGGGTAGTTGGTCTCAACAGGGGGATTAAAATATTTGTAAACCATGCTATAAACAGATGTGCTGTCATCCAGGTTTTGTTGCTGCATCTATAGAACACAGGCAGAGTAGATTTAGTATAATTCTTAAGGTCTCTAGGATTGCTGGAATGAAAAATAGGCACTGATGTCAATTTAAAGTCATCAGCTGCATTGGCCCCTAACAAGAGAGTCCGCCTGTCTTTGAAGTTTTGAAGCCAGGCATTGACTTCTCACTAGCTATGAAAGTCCTAAATGGCATCTTGTTTTGATAGAAAACTGTTTTATCTACACTAAAAATATGTCATTTAATGGAGCCACTTTCGTCAATGATATTTGCTAGATCTTCTGCGTAACCTGCTGCAGTTTCTACATCATCACTTGCTGCTTCGAACCTTGCACTTTTGTTTTAGAGAAATGGCTTCTTTCCTTAAACCTCATGAACCAACCTCTGCTAGGTTCAAACCTTGCTTCTGCAGCTCCCTCATCTCTCTCAGCCTTAATAGAATTGAAGAAAGTTAGGACCTGGCCTGGATTAATCTTTGTCTTAGGGGAATGTTGAAGGTGGTTTGCTCTATTCAGACCATTAAAACTTTCTCCATATCAGCAATAGGATGATTTTGCTTTCTTATCTTCTGTGTGGTCACTGGAGTAGCACTTTTAATTTTTTTTTTTTTTTTTTTGCCTTCATGACTTGGCTAAGTGTTTGGTGCAAGAGGCCTGCCTTCTGTCCAATCTTGGCTTCCACATGTCTTCATCGCTAAAGCTTAATCATTTCTAGCTTTTGATTTAAAGTGAGAGACATGCAACTCTTCCGTTCACTCGAACACTTAGAGGGTATCATAGGGATAGTAACTGGCCTAACTTCAATAGCATTGTATCTCAGGAATAGGGAGGCTGAGGAGAGTGAGAGAAACGGGAACAGCTGGTTGATGGAACAGTCAGAACACACACACTTTTTGATTACATTTGCCGTCTTACCTGGGTGTAGTTCATGATGCCTCAAAACAATTACAAGAGTTTCATCAGAGCTCTTGGGTGTAATCAAAGGTGACTGATTATAGAGCACCATAACAGATATAACCACATAATAATAATGAAAACATTTGAAATATCATGAAAATTGCCAAAATATGACACAGAGGTATGAAATGAGTGCAGGCTGTTGGAAAATTGCCAATAGACTTGCTTGACACAGGACTGCCACAGACATTCAATCTGTAAAAAATGCAGTATCTGCAAAGCACAATAAAGTGGAGCACAAAAAAATGAGGTATGCCTGTGTTAGGACTTTGTGGGGAGCCACCTACCTGCATAGGATATCTGGACACCAATGGGTTAAATTTTTGTAGAAAGTCATTTATCATCCTTATTGGGTGCTGCTCCAGGCAAGGGGGCTGCTCCAGATGGACAAAGTTTCTCCTACTTAGAGACTGGTTTTGATGGTAGGACTTGTGTGCCCATAATGAGAAGTTCTCTGTTGAGTAAAAGCAAGGCAGTTGCCTGGCAAACACTTTTGTTCAATGTTGTTCCTGGGCTCACAGACCACACCCCTTGCGCCTTTGCAGCATATTCACTGGGTGTGCGGTGGGAATGGAGGAAATGCTTATTGAAAACCTGCCCAGTGTCAGGTAAAACTACAGAAAACCATGCCAGATCCAGTGTGTTTCCTCTCTTACCTCCCTCTAAGTCCTTGTCATCCTCCGACTTTAAAAACACACACATAGTCTCTGTCTTCCAATTTTATGCACAACGGTGAACATCCTAAATCAGCACCTGGGATGAAACCTTCACTATGCAACAGCAACAGAAAGCCCAGGGCTTTTCTCATCTCCCCTTGTGGAAAATACTTATTTCTTTCTAGAGAGGACAGGGAAGAGTTTGGGGGAAGGAGTGGGTTGTCTTTCTCTCTTGAATGGGCTCTGTCACTATTAATAAAACTAAAATAAAGAAGGAAAATGCCCATATTTCATATGAGGTTTTCATATTGGAAGAGGCTGGGTGACTGACTGTATCTTGCGACACTTCTTTCCTGGAACAAAAATTGAAGCACATATGAGTTCATTTACTGAAGTTCCTGCAAAAAGCAAATGACAAAATGAACTTTAAAATTTGAGGTTTTTCTGATTCTAACAGTTATGATATTTCCATTCTTCTAAAACATAGAACTTTTGGGTCTGGCTCTAACTGAAGATACATTGTGAGCAAAAGAAAAAAGAATGGGCCATTTAAATTTAGCACTGAGACTTGGTGTATACAAGACAGGGAATGCATTGTGTGGGAAGAGATGAATCCGAATGCCCTTTTTCTTCTTTACTGCCACTCTCCTCCTCTCATATACATGCTCTGCCCGGAGCTCAGGCAGTGGTTGGATTTGGGAGGGTTAAGGGATGTTAACTAAAATCAGCAAAGCAGAGATGGATTTCAATTCCATTAGAGCTCAGCCTAAAAGCACTTACCTTCATTTGAGAGAAGCAAAGATCAAGTGAAAGACAGTTGCCAGATCCTTCGCTCATTTCCTGGAAGCTAATGGACCATGAGGGGAAGGATGTTTATGCAACTATAGAGGCAGCCAAAGAGCGTGCTCTTAAACTGTTGTCTGGGGGTTACAAATGTGCCTTTCTTTCAGAACACACTTTCTCTGTGTGACAAATTTCAGAGGCCAGTTCCATCTTTCCTTTTAGCTTGATTCAGACATAGGCATGGGTGTAGTCTGTGGGTAGAATATAGACATTTTCAGACATTAAAAAAAAAAGATATAGGCATGGTATTGACTGATTGATTGATCAATTCATTTAATGAGCAATAATTAACTAGCTAAGAAGGAATTTCAGAAGTCAACCTGCGACCCAGTATCTCTCAGCTGAGTTCTTATTAGAGTCAGTGGGTCAATCTCAGGGGTGATTGATTGACTCACTTATTTGTTCACCTATTTTCCAATTTGCAAGTTGTATGCTTGGCAAAGTACTTGGTCAATGTTTTGAGACATATGGTTTTTATCTTTCTCTCTCTCAACATATCTCAAGGTTGAACATTATTTATTAACAGGGCATAGATGATATTGGAAAAATGTATAACTATATTAAACTTGTAATTTATTTTGCGATGGTAATTTCTTAGAATGCAGCTAAAATACATAATGAAAAAAGGGTAAGTTTAAAGAAAAATCGAGCCGGCCACGGTGGCTCATGCCTATAATCCCAGCACTTTGGGAGGCTGAGGCGGGTGGATCACGAGGTCAACAGATCGAGACCATCCTGGTCAACAAGGTGAAACCCCGTCTCTACCAAAAACACAAAAATTAGCTGGGCCTGTTGGTGCATACTTGTAGTCCCAGCTACTCAGGAGGCTGAGGCAGGAGAATTGCCTGAACCCAGGAGGCGGAGGTTGCAGTGAGCCGAGATGGTGCCATTGTACTCCAGTCTGGGTAAGAGCGAAACTCCATCTCAAAAAAAAGAAAAATTGTAGAGATGAGACTGAACTATGGTAGAAATTCATAAATGTAGTTTGTAAATGATTGATATTCAGGAAACATTTCTTTTTTTTTTTTGAGAAAAAAATGAAAGAAAGAAAGAGGAAGAGAAAGAGGGTGAGAGAACGGAAATCTTGCTCTATTGCCCAGACTAGAATGCAGTCTAAAAATAGGTATTAAAAACCTCTTTTATGCCAATAATTGTGGTTAACAATGGGGACAGGAAGGAATAAGGGAGGAAAATAACAAGCAGCCAACCGATATTTCATTTAAACCTGTGAAATGCTATGCGATTGCTGAGGGGTCATTTACTTCCAATTATGTGGTCACTTCTAGAATAGGTGTGATGTGATTCTGAGAAGAATGTATGTTTTGTGGATTTGGGGTGGAGAGTTATATAAATGTGAGTTTAACAAGTCCTGATATCCTTGTTAATTTTCTGTCTGGTTGATCTAATATTGACAATGTGATGTTAAAGTCTCCCACTATTATTGTGTGGGAGTCTAAGTCTCTTTATAAATCATTAAGAACTTGTCTTCTGTATCTGGGTGTTCTTGTATTGGGTACAAATATATTTAGGATTGTTAGCTCTTCTTGTTGCATTGATCCTTTTACCATTATGTAATGTCCTTCTTTGTCTCTTTTGGTCTTTGTTGCTTTAAAGTCTATTTTATCAGAGATGAGAATTGCAATGCCTGTTTTTTTTTCCCTCTCCATTTGGTTGGTAAATCTTCCTCCTTCCCTTTGTTTTGAGTCTTTGTGTATCCTTGCATGTGAGATGGGTCTGGATGCAGCACATCGATCGGTTTTGGGCTTTTTATCCAATTTGCCTGTCTGTGTCTTTTGATTCATTTAAATTTAGGATAATATTGATATATTTGAGTTTAATACTGCTATTTAATGCTAGCTGGCTGTTTTGCCCATTGATAGATGTAGATACTTCATAATGGTGATGCTCTTTACCTTTTGGTATGTTTTTGGAATGACTGATACTGTTGTTCCTTTCTATGTGTAGTGTTTCTTTCAGAAGCTCTTGTAAAGCAGGCCTGGTGGTGATGAAGTCTCTGAGTACTTGTTTGTTCACAAATAATTTTTTTTCCCCTTCATTTATGAAGCTTAGTTTGGCTGGATATGAAATTCTGGGCTGAAAATTATTTTCTTTAAGGATGTTGAATATTGGCCCCCACTCTCCTCTGGCTTGTAGTGTTTCTGCTGAGAGATCTGCTGTAAGTCTGATAGGCTTCCCTTTGTGGGTAACCTGACCTTTCTCTCTGGCTGCCATTAGTATTTTCTCTTTCATTTCAACCCTGGTGAATTTAACAATTATGTGCCTTGGGGTTGCTCTTCTTGAGGAATATCTTTGTGGTGTTCTCTATATTACCTGGAGTTGAGTGTTGTCCTGTCTTGCTAGGTTGGGAAAGTTTTCCTGGATAATATCCTGAAGAATATTTTCCAGCTTGGATTCATTCTCTTTGTCACATTCAGGTACACCTATCAAACGTAGATTAGATCTTTTTACATAGTCCCATATTTCTTGGAGACTTTGCTCATTCCTTTTTACCCTTTTTTCTAAAATCTTGTCTTCTCATTTTATTTCATTGAGTTGGTCTTCGACCTCTGATATCCTTTCTTCTGCTTGATCAATTCGACTGTTAAAACTTGTGCATACTTCACGAAGTTCTCATATTGTGTTTTTCAGCTCCATTAATTCACTTATATTCCTCTCTAAATTGTCTATTCTCATTAGCATTTTGTCAAACCTTTTTTCAAGGTTCTTAGTTTCTTTGCATTGGGTTAGAACATGTTCTTTTAGCTCACAGAAGTTTCTTATTACCCACCTTCTGAAGCCCAATTCTGTCAATTTGTCACACTCATTCTCCATCAGGCCTTGTTCCCTTGCTGATGAGGAGCTGTGATCCCCTGTAGGAGGAGAGGCATTATGATTTTGGGTGTCCTCAGCTCTTCCGCACTGGTCTCTTCCCATCTTTGTGGATTTAACCACCTGTCATCTTTGTAATTGCTGACTTTCTGATTGGGTCTCTGAGTGGACGTCCAGCTTGTTGGTGATGAAGTGTTTTCCGTTTCTTAGTTTTCCTTTGGCAGATGCCCCTCCCCCACAGAGCTGGGCCTTCCTGGGTTCAGCTGTGCTTGCTGTGAAACTCTCAGTTCTCAGTGTTTCCAATTGCTGTTTTTTTTGTGAGGGTGGGACAAGCTGAGCCTGATCACCTGGCTCCCTGTCTCAGAGCCTTTTTTTTTTTCTTGTTGAATGGTCGATTCTCTCCCAGGTGTTCTGGTCACCTGCTAAAAGGGTGGTGGAATCTGTGTAATTTCCCTTGTGGTGACCCACTGCGCTGGCTGAAACAGTGGTGTTGAGACTCTTGGTGCCTTTTTGTCCGAGAATCGCCTGGTCTGGGTCCCTGTTTCAGTCCCCTTTTCAATCAGCTGAATGGGTGACTCTGCCTTCCTGGAGCTCCAAACGCCAACTAAAAGGGCACCCAGTCCTGTATACTCTGCACTGAGAACTGCTGTGCCAGAGTGCCAGCAAAATAGCCACGTCAGCCAAAAGAGTCACACTGGCGAACCATGGGGCTCCTCTGCTGTGAATCTTCTGGTCTGTGGGCAACAAAAATGCATCTGGGAGTGTGGCGTCCACTCACTCTCTGAGCCTTCACTGGGAGCTGCAATCCTGAGCTGCCACTAATTGACCATCCTGGATCTCTCTCCTTCAGGAAACATTTCTATGTGCTGTGGGGGATACATGGAGTTACCTTTCCTTGAAGGAATTTACAGTTGATATGAAAAGAAAAGACAAAAATCTTACAGGAGAAAACCTATACTATTTTGTAGATAATATACTTTCCAAATTCAGAGGAAGGGCAGGGATGGATGAAGTGGAGATGCATTGGGAGGACTTCATGGGTGATGTGGAACATGGCTGGATTTGAAGGATGGGAGGGTATGGAGGGAGGAGATGGGAATGAAGAAAGAGGTATAAAGAGAAAGTGGGGAAGAATCATGGGGTATACTGTTTAGAGGGGGAATGGACCCATTTTCCTCTCCTCAACCTATGGTAGACATACCTGAATCAATATTTGCTGGATTAAAAAAATACTTATTTGTTACTCTGCATCTATTTTTACCTCCTTGATAATGCTTGCTTTCTTTTAGGGCATTAGTTCCTTGTCATTTATGCTGCTTTGACATGATTTTCCATCAAAGTGCCTATGACCCTTGGCTAAGTGGTAGGCATTGGCCCATTGAACCCTCTTTGGTGAATTTGAGTTTTTAAGCAAAGGTAGACAATCCAGGTGTTAGCTCATTTACCTTTGCAGCTCTGCCCTACCAGAGCTTTTCATCAGCTCCTCTGGAGTCCCTGGCTCCTGGACCTTCTGAATCTGGTTCTTAGCTGTTCCCTTGATTCTGTGAGCCACCTCCTATCCTCACAGTAAATCCTCTTTCTGCTTCAGTTAGCCATTGACCAGCTACGGTTTTTAGTTGCAAGCAAGAGAAAACAAACTCTGGCTAACTTAAACAGAAAAATATTGGGAAGATATCAAATGGCTCACAAAACTGATGAAAAGCCTGGATCAACAAGTTTTAAAAAGTAGTTGGGAGTCAAGGGAAAATGCATAGCTAGAATCATAGCCAAGGTCATGTCACATGAAAAGTCCATCAAGGATGTGCTGCTGCAACCCTGGGCACCTGGTCACTTCCTTTGGACACTGAATGCTGTCCCTTGCACTATCCTTTGGCCTGTCCCTTGGCCACTGCTGGACACTGGATGCTGATCTTTCCACTATCACCACTGGGCATTCGAAGAAGGTAATTCTGCTGCTACTCACACCAGCTTCAAAGTCCTAGTTAGAAGGATCTGATTGGCTAAGCCTAAAATCATTAGTTTCTAAAGCTGGAGGATAGATCTACCCTCTCTCATATAGTTGTAGATTCCTCAATTACAGAAAAGGAGTTCAGATGTTGGTGAAAAAACTCTACTTTAACAGATATAAGACAGTGGTACTGAGGTTGAGGATCTCTGGTGGATCTGACTTTTCTCTCTGACTTGTCACTTCTTTCAAATTTTGAGCTGAAAACATTAGCTTGCATTTTCTGTAAGAAGCATCACAGATTTATAGGTTAATAACACAGTGTTATTGATGATGATGATGGTGATAATGATAATAGCAGTTATTTATTGAATGCCTCCTATTTTCTAGGCATCCTTTTAGGTGGGAATGAATATA